GATATCATCATCAGCCTATTAATGTCCCAACTGCTGGGGCACAGGCCTTCCCTATCGATGGAATAGGGAGATTGGGCCGTTATCCACCACGCGGGCCCAGTGCGGATTGGTGGGTGTTAACGACTGCAGATGCATGCCGGACCAACGGCTTAACGTACCTTCCGAAGCACGGAGGAACTCGAGATAGTAAATTTTTGGTCACCCATCCAATGACCGACCACTGCGAAAGTTGCTTAACTTCAACGATCGCAGCGAAACGCGCTAACCACTAGCGCCATCGAGCTCCTCAGTTGTTTTAGTAATTTAGTCCAATATTCGAACCACTTTGAAGGACAGCCTAATTTATTGAAACACGCTAAGAATTTCCTTATAACTTGTCGGTATGGTAATAACTAAAGTACACTCTGGCCGTATTTACATCCGTCAACTGGCGTATCTTCATTACAGCATAAGATGCAGAGCTAGGTCCATTTGACAATTTATCAATATGTGGGCCCCATTGAAGCTTAGAATCTAAAGTAATCCCTAAGAATACTGTGGTGTCTACAAGGTCTTAAAAATTCGTAACTTCGGCACTTAGATAGAAAATAGCCGACGCTTGTTATCGTAAAATTGATACTTAAAGTTTGAACAGCGTTCAAAATAAACACTACTTTGCATAAGCAAATCATGTTATTTTGTGTTGTTTCACGAACAGAATAAGGAAAAATATGAATAAAAGGTTTCAAATTCAAATCATAAAGTTGACTTATACAGTTACGAACATTTTCATATATACATTTAAAAGGGACAATTATATGTCGCTATGAACCACATAACACAGATCTACGAACATAATGTCACAAACGCTGTCGAAACGAAACCGCGAAAGTGCTAGAGATCGAACGACTGTGCCAGAGCACTGCGGGTCGCGGTCGAGTAATGCGGTTCATTCTAAAATGAGCCTTATGCAGTGCGGCGTATGGGAGATAGTGCAACGACATCTGCACTTGTTTACAAGTTATGCGCGTTACCTGCGTAGGTATAAGTAGGTACTTCGTACTCGCGGGTGCTAGCTAATTCTCAATTTAACAGCTACTTTCTAGAATGCGTCGATCGGCGCGATTGGCGCCGCGCAGAGACAGTTGAGTTTCAACAGCGATTTCGGAGCGAATCCAAAGGCGATCAAAGTGCAACAAAAGTGTTCAAGTGAGATTGTTTAGAGACGTCTTCTATAGTGAAATACAGTGTTTAGTGAGTGTTTTGTAATTAACATTGCGTGTTAAATGTGTGGACTGTGTGGTGAATAAATAACCGTCAAGCGTGAACTGGCATATAATTTCGAACCCCATCCCGACACGTAACAATAAAAATTAAGTATCAAATTGTTACTTACAACTTGGGTCTATGTAATCACACTAATATTATTAAAGGCGAAAGTTTGTGAGTGTGTATGTTGTTTACTTCTTCACGTCTAAACGGCTGGAGCGATTTCAATAAAATTTGGTATGGAGTTAGCTGAAACCCTGGATCAACACATAGGCTACGTTTTGCTGCGGGAAAATATCCCTAATAAACCGTGGGTAACATCGCGGGGCACAGCTAGTCTTGAATAAATGAAATTATAATGCGATTCAACTAAGAATAGGACCGACTGGGCGCCATATTTTGACGTCATAGCTGTCAATTCAAACCAAATAGGTAGAGTGAGCAAAAAAAAGTTTCTATTTAATTAAACTTATTTACTTAGATTAAGTGAGAAAAAACATCAGTTTTTTTTATAAAATTCATTTTCTAAGATTGAGAGAAAAAAACAACCTATTTTTAATAATATTTCTTTATTAAGACTGTGAGAAAAAACATTAACCAGAATCTAGCTCTTCAATTCCGCTCATCTCTGCATTACCGCCGGAGTAGTTATGAATAATCATGCAGGTCACATACGAACATGCTTCCCATATCTAAACGAAAGTATTAAATCGAGTTTCTGAACGCAACATAAAGTGACATTTGGTTGACGATTTAGGTTATCAACCATTCATAGCCAAAGCTCAATAAATGAATGAAAAAAAATATCAACCAATATTAATTATCAATATTTGTTATTGTTTACAAACGTTTGGTTTTTATTCTAGAATTAGCTGAGTGCTAAAAAAGTGTTCCGAGTTTTTTTTTGCAAACTGTACTTTTCAAGCGACATTTGACAGAAGGAGGTCATTAAATTTCCTGTTCTTATTTGAATCGCATTATATTAATATTACTAGCTGACTCGGCGAACTTCGTACCGCCCAAAAGTAATAATTTGCAATAAATTAAAATTGCGACTATAATTTGAGATTTAAACTATCCTATCTCTCAAGTTGGATCGAACTGCACATGGTGTGCGAATTTTATTATAATCGGTTCAGTGGTTTAGGAGTCCATTGAGGACAAACATTGTGACACGAGATTTATATATATTAAGATTAATGCGCAGGAAAATCCAGAGTTCGCGACACATTCTTTCCTGTATACCGTCCGAAGTTGTCACCGAGAACGCCGCATTTCGAAGCGATTTTACTGAATACGTCAAGGTTCATTCTGTGTCGTTCACAACTTCACACGGAGAAGAAGAATACGTGCATTCGTGTTAGCGCGCATTTTACAAAGGCCTGTGTAACGTGACGTTAAAAACGCATGAAAAGATCGTCGTGTGAACGACTATGGCACAGTACAGACCAGGGGGCCATTCGCCTAACGGAAATGCTTTGGAAAACGCTATCGCTTACGATTTCATTTTGTTATTTCTAGCCGCTAGAGGTTTTCAAATGCCTCGCGCTCTTTTTTTTCTTTTGCATTGGTAATAACAATATTAAAGGAAATGAGCGTGAGGTATTTGAAAACCTTCGGCGGTCAGACATAACAAAATGAATTCGAAAGCGTTAGAGTTTTTCCAAAGCATTTCCGTTAGGCGAATGGCCCCCAGTACTCCGACTTCATACTAGCGCCCGAATCGACGCACGCACACTGACAAACGTCATTTACACGGCCGCTAACCAATCTTGACAAGACAAATCTACGCAGTGCCACGTCGCGCGCCGCCGGGACTGGTCGTTGGCCCGAGTTAATTTAAATGCGCCGCGCCGCCCGCGCCGTCTGCGTCCGTTTCGATTCCGTAACGTGGCAATAGTAACCATACATATGCAATAAAAATCTACACAAATATGTTTTACATTTTGTAGGTACTAGTGTTGCCGATCGATAGGCGACTATCGATGATTAATCGATAGTCTATCGATAGCCAACCAATCGTATGACAATCGATCGGCTTATCGGTAGTATCGATACTATCGATAGCATTGTAGTTCGATAATAACAAACTATCGATAGTATCGATACTGTCGATTTTATTTGCAACCATACTATCGATAGTTTAACAAATTTGCAATAGTATTGTTTACAATTTTCAGGTATAATAGTCAATCACAAACTTTAGTCTAAAACAATCGCTAGTATCGATAGTATTGGTGTAGGTAAAATCAACACTATCGATAGTATCGATACTATCAATAGTTTGTTATTAACAAACTATTGATAGTATCGATAGTATCTATAGTATTGCACTCATTCGATAGTATTGCCTTGTTCTGAGCTATCGATAGTATCGATACTATCGGTTGTATCGATTCTATCGGTAGGCCTATCGATAGGGTACATGATTTTCGATGTAAACTGTCGATAGTTTTAATATCGATAGTTCGGCAACACTAGTAGGTACCAACCCTAGCGCTTCGCTCAGTCGTAGGTATCTATTTCAAGAAAACGGCTGAGTTACGCTACTGATCTTGCATGTATTGGGACTATGGCATATACGGGAAAATCGTAAACGTGATAATACCGTGTCGTATAGTTGTCGTTTGAACGAAGCCTAATCGCGCAATTTCATTTGGTCTACTACTATTCGGGCTTAGATTAAAACAAAAAGGGTAGATAAGATACGCTCATACTTGCATCAAACAAAAACTGATCCCACTTTACTACATATGCAACACTCACACATCCACCTGTTTGTAAAGATACAATCGAACGAATGAAACAGCAATTTAAGTTTCAACGGCAGCGCGAACGGGACGGCGAGATCCGCGTCACTGCATTACCGACCCGAACGAAACAACACGTTAAGTTTCAACGGCAGCGCGAACGAGACGGCGAGATCCGCGTCACTGCACTACCGACCGATCACGCGACCAGTACTCGACGTCACTACCGAATAAGATTCAAAACAAACAGCAATTTTTATGAAAAAATATATTTTATAGTGCTTACGAATGAAAAGTGATGCCGTGGGTTTTACTTTTAGTTCTTGAGCAATTTGAGCACTTTTTAAAAACACACTTAGTCATTGTTTTATCATATAAACACAAAATATTAGCAATATTTCTTTTTGGCGTTCACGTGTACGTCGTTTGCATGTCAAGTTGTGACTAAAGCGATTGTGGTCTTGGGCCACAATTTATGCGGATCACTTTTGTGAGGCTGGTGCCGTATCTACCCTTTTTGTTTTAAATCTAAGTATTCGGGTGCACGAATGACATTACTCGAATTCGGGCACCCGAAGCAATATTTACATTTGAATACGCCACAATACCGTGTCGGGTAAACAAAAGGAGATCTACCCTTATACGGGCGCACTCGACTCCTTTCACTTACACTTACTCGTTTACCCGAATTCCATTGGCAATCGTATTCTATTGAAAAACGCTAACGCTTACGATTTCATTTTGTTATTCCTGACCGCCGAAGGTTTTCAAATACCTCATGCTCATTTTTTTTAATATTATTATTAACAATGCAAAAACAAAAAAGAGCGCGAGGCCTTTTAAAGCTTCAGGTGGCTAGAAATAACAAAATTAATTCGTAAGTGATAGCGTTGTCCAAAGCAATCCCGTTAGGCGATCAGCCCCCAGATTGTACGGGAACCGTTTTTTTTTTTCATGCGTGTATTCGCCGGTAAGAAATAAAAGATACGAGTAGTTACTCACGCTGCATATGTATATGCTGCTTGGGCATCTTGTAGTCGGGCGGGTAGCATCGCTCGTAGAACTCGAGGTCGCTGACCTCGCACACCTCCGGCGTGGGTATGATGAGCCCGGTGCCCGATATCGCCCTCTGGAGGTGATGCTCCTGTGGGTAGGGAAATATAACAAATAAATACATCATCATCATTATCAGCCTATTAATGTCCCCACTGCTGGGGCACAGGCCTTCCCTATTGATGGAATAGGGAGATTGGGCCATAACCCACCACGCGGGCCCAATGCGGATTGGTGGGTGCTAACGACTACAGATACAGCCGGGACCAACAACTTAAGGTGCCTTCCGAAGCACGGAGCAACTCGAGATAGTAAATTTTTGGTCACCCATCCAATGACCGACCACTGCGAAAGTTGCTTAACTTCAACTATCGCAGTCAAACGCGCTAATCACCCGCGCCATCGAGCTCCTCCTTCTAAAAGGGGGGGAAAAAAGGTTGTCTATATCAAAATAAAATTTGAACTTAACCTTTTTAAAAACAAACTAAATACCGTGATTCAGAACAATCATAGAAAAATATAGAACACAACAGTAACGCCATCCATCGGTCCTATATATAACTCGGTGTCGTTATAATAGTTTATATTATACTTTTTAAAATACTGTTGTCGACGAAGGCGTATCACTGAACTATGTAATGCATACTAATATTATAAATGCGCAAGGCTGTATTTATGTCCGTTACATCTTCACGCTTAAACCGCTGAAACTATTCGGTTGAAATTAGGTTCAAAGATAATTTGAGTCCCAAAGAACGAAGGATAAAGGATAGTTTTAATATCAAAAATCATAAGAAAATATAACTAGAAAAAATTCCACGCGGACCAGGCAGCAGACGGGACTCGAACCCGCACCCTTCGCAATCCGGGCGAATGCACTGACCAGGGGGCCAATCGCCTAACTGGATTGCTTTGGAAAACGCTATCGCTTACGATTTCATTTTGTTATTTCTAGCCCCCTGAGGTTTTCAAATGCCTCGCGCTCTTTTTTTTTCTTTTGCATTGGTAATAACAATGTTAAAGAAAATGAGCGTGAGGTATTTCGGCGGTTAGAAATAACAAAATGAAATCGTAAGCGATAGCGTTTTCCAAAGCAATCTGGTTAGGCGATTGGCCCACAGTAGCATAATTGGTCAGTGCATTCGCCCGGATTGCGAAGGGTGCGGGTTCGAGTCCCGTCTGCTGCCTGGTCCGCGTGGAATTTTTTCTAGTTATATTTTCTTTAGATTTAAACATCAAGCAGTTACATGCTTTAAAAATAATAAAAATTATAACTATAATTGCTATTTCTTCTTTCAAATGTTTAATACTTGTAAAAGTATTCATTTGACATTGTGGGTTTACCTATAATGCGAAGAGATGGCGCTGCCTTGCAGCTTAAGAATAGCTAGAAAGAATTTCGACGCGGTCCGTGAGGGCCGCGGTAGCATAATTGGTCAGTGCATTCGCCCGGATTGCGAAGGGTGCGGGTTCGAGTCCCGTCTGCTGCCTGGTCCGCGTGGATTTTTTTCTAGTTATATTTTCTTTAGATTTAAACATCAAGCAGTTACATGCTTTAAAAATAATAAAAATTATAACTATAATTGCTATTTCTTCTTTCAAATGTTTAATACTTGTAAAAGTATTCATTTGACATTGTGGGTTTACCTATAATGCGAAGAGATGGCGCTGCCTTGCAGCTTAAGAATAGCTAGAAAGAATTTCGACGCGGTCCGTGAGGGCCGCGGTAGCATAATTGGTCAGTGCATTCGCCCGGATTGCGAAGGGTGCGGGTTCGAGTCCCGTCTGCTGCCTGGTCCGCGTGGAATTTTTTCTAGTTATATTTTCTTTAGATTTAAACATCAAGCAGTTACATGCTTTAAAAATAATAAAAATTATAATCAAAAATCATCCTTAAATGGGGTGAAAAAGGGGGTGGATGTTTGTATAGGAAACCAATTTTTCCACGTAGACGAAGTCGCTGAACTAGTTATGTATAAAGTTGACAGAGAGAATAAAGAAATAATTTAAGAGTCTAAGGTTTAGATATCTTTTTAGATTAGTAACTAAAATGAAGATTATAGACGTCACAAAAGTTTAGACAGTGACGTCAAGTGTTTTTTTTTACCGAAGAATAAAACCCAAGCCACAGTATGAATAAGTGAGCAGTGTTTAGTCTCGAGTGTGTTTAGAACAGCGAAATTATTACGAATAAATTGAAAAGAAAATATAACTAGAAAAAATTCCACGCCGACCAGGCCGCAGACGGGACTCAAACCAGCACCCTTCGCAATCCGGGCGAATGCACCCATTATGCTACTGCGGCCCTCACGTACCGCGTCGAAATCTTTCTAGCCATTCTTAAGCTGCAAGGCAGCGCCATCACTTCGCATTATAGGTAACCCACGAATAAATTGTCTTAGTTGTCCTACGACACGAGCTACTTGGACGATATTGAATTTGAATTAATGTTTCTAAATAATTATATTGGTAGTAACATAATTGTGTGTAAATGTTACTACTTCTGTTAAACGGCGATGAGTTTTTTTGCGCCGTTTCTTCTCATCAGCTAAAAGATGTCATGAATAGGTGGTATGGTATGAAAAAATATTGGACGATTCAAAGGAACTTTCAATGAGTCAATTTGAAATAGAGTATAATTTCATTTCATTTCTACAAATTTATTGCAAGTTAAATTCTTATCGTTAAATAATTACTAAGATTCAAATAACAAAAATCAAAATATCAATACGATAAACAAATGTCAATAAATTGGGCAAATACTTAAAGTAATATGTCAATACTTTCAAATAAATAATCAAATACCTATAAATTGGGCAAAAACTATTATTAATTCATGTCAATCCAATAATCAAATGTCAATAAAATTGGCCAAAACTCTATATAACACGTCAATATACTTGCAATTCAATTATCAAATGTCAATAAAATTTGCTATAACTATAAACATAACAGAATAAAAAAAACACAATTTGTCATTTAAAAATTCTCATATACATTATAATAACATTTATCAATTAATAATTTCTTAATTTTCTGTTTACACAGATTATACCATAAAACTTTCAAAGATGTTGGGAGTCTGTTATTTATTCGAGGAGCCATACAGAATATATTATTTCCCTTGAGAGCTGAAAGGCCAAAAGCTTATTTGCTTTTACTTAAAAAAAATAAAAATAAAGAAATTGCTATGTACTAAACTAACTATTCCCTCTCTTTCTCTCACTCTCTCTGAATTTAAGAGCCTTTTCTCTTTGTCTTCCGCCAGCTCTTAGATATTTGACCCTCCTGTACGGCTCGACGCCAACTTTCTCCTTTTTCGTCTAAGATAGGCTCCCCTATCCTCGGTCTTCTTTTCAAAGCGCATCGCTTTGGCCGTGTTGGCTATCAAAAATTTTCAAATTCCCGGGTTCAAATCCCGGTGGGGGCAGATGTTTGTGTGATGAATACGAGCATTTGTACTCCAGTCATGGATGTTTAATATGTATTTCTATAAAAATATACTTATATATGTACTGTATATGTATTCTATCCGTTACCCTAGTATCCCGTAACACAAGCCTTATATAGTGCTTACTTTGGGGCTAGGTTAATTGGTGTTAGTGTTGGAAATATTTATTTTCTTTTATTTTAAATTAATATCAAAGCGCGTCGCTTCGGCCGCGTGTGTTGCACGAGGACGTGTTACTGCTCGTGTAACCTCTACTGTGTCGTCGCGATACGGGATGTGATCCAAGCGGGTGTTTCATAACGCCCAGAGGCATGCCAAGGTTTCACAAGTCATTAGTTAACACAGAACAGAACCGTTACAGACCGGCTGATGTATGGTTTTCGTTATGAATGCAGCAGAGTTTTCCTATTTCGACATTTATTTTATCGGTCTGTATGTATATTTCGGGATGGAAAGTTACGGTCTGCTTTGGCTCTGTGTACAAAAGAGCTTTTGTAGTGAAATTTCTTTGCGGACGGGGTGTTAACGGAAAAATCCTATTGAAAAGATGAAACGAAAATGCGTCACGAGCGTCACACAACCATTTTTATATATGTGTGTGCTTGCGTGCGTGCGTGTTTACGTGCGTGTGTGTGGGATGCGTGCGCATCGTGAAAAGATGACAGCACTTGATCAATCAATCAAATCATTTATTCGTTGTCATCGGTAACAATAAGTTTTTAAAATTTATATAAATGTGCCTTCATGACATGCTCAACAGCACACGAAAATTTGTTATCATTTTAAATTCAATAAAATCATAATCATCATAATAGAAGAATCAATACATTAATCTATACATCAATAAAAAAAATAAAAAAATGAAATAGAAATGTCAGTATCCATTAAAAATTAATTTACATTATAATAACATTTATCCACTAAAAATTTCGTCAGTATTTTTTTAAATGTATTGGTATTATAATATTAAATGCTGTCAGGTAATTTATTATATAATTTTGGCGCCATTTCTACAACACTTTTCTTCATTAGCGCTGTTCTACACATATTTGTACAAACTTGAGGTTTCCGAGGGCGAAGGCCGAGCATATGAGTCTGTTCTCTTACTTTAAAAAGATCTGGATTACTTTTCACGACAACGCAGCACTCAAATATATAGAGACGATTGCTGAAAAAACATTGATTACAACGATTGCTGAAAAAACTTTTTTGTATGATACAAAAGAGTTGTACTATATGTATATCCAATTTGAATAAAGATATATTGATTTCTGATAGAGTCTTATAAGGCCCGTATTACAGAATGACAACTAAGTGTTGATCTTAACTTGAGTACAGTTAGAAAGGGATGTCGCTATGTGCTGTATATAGCGACATCCCTTTCTAACTATGCTGCAAATCTTTTTTTTTTTTGTTAAATTCTCCCTTTTCAGGGAAGGCAAGGGGAACAATGGCCATACAGCCTAGTCTTAAGTTAAATTATTCTGTTTTTCTTTTTACATTAGAATGTCGGTGTGACGCATTCTAATGTTTCTTGAAGTGTTTGGCACGAAATGTATCGAGCAGGCTTTTTCGATAAGCTTCTGTGAGGTAGTCAATACTACAATAAAATTCTCACGTCCACTTGATCGGAATAGCGT